GGAAACGAATCATTTGATTCGGTGCTCGGTAAAATAATTATAATTTGTACACAACATTGGGAAAAACTAATCTATATATTATTGAAGACTTCTTTATATATAAGGTTCATGGTTTGATTCTTTGGCACGTCATCATTGCCACAAATTAAGATTTTTGAACCATTTCTATTAATGATTAATATTAGTATCTAAATAAATAATATGTTATTTACTTATTTTTACTTTAAGCTAAACAATTGATATTATCATTAACAAATTGTTCCCGAAATTAGATTATAATAATGCATTTGCCTTGTTGATTTTTTTGTTATTTAAATCTTGAATTAGATGCTACCACTAATAATTATTATCCGATTTTTGTGCAATTAATATATTCCAATTAATTGCTACCAACATTAGATAAATCCCATACAAATAATAGTATATTTTAAAAGATATACATCATCTTAGTATCAAATATTTACGTTCTAATTTTAACTCTCGGTTTGCAAATGCAATATGGTTACAACCAAAGATACTTTGTTAAGTTATAGAAAGTAACAAACTATTGTCATAGTTATAAATATAATATTCAAGTTATTTTGTATGGGATTTATTGTTTCTTAATTCTTCTTATCCGAGTAATTAATTGGCAATTGAATAACACGTTATATAAATATTAGTATTTTATATAGAATAGATATATGACTCTATGAATTAACAAAATATTGGTGTTAAAATTCATACTCATCTCTTAAGATAAATCGGATTATGTTTTATATTAATTGATTTTTATATATTTCAAACAAATCAATTTAGCAAAAATAGAACTAACAATAATATAACAATACTTTAAAAAATATAATAATCCAAGAACAATAGATAAAAATCTTATTGAATTATATGCGCAACAGCCTCGGTAACTATATGTTACCTAGAGACTGTTGGGAAAAGTTTGCCCAAAAAGCATTGAAAAACACGCAACCTAGAACTTAAATCAACAAAATACCAAAATATTCATGAAAT